GGCAGCCATTGAATTCGAGTCCACACTGCCTCCATCTCCTCAACAAGTTATTCGCTGTGCATAATCCTCTCCATTTTCCATAAAACAGTCCCCAAGAGCGCTTTTATCTGCCGAGGGTCCAGAAGGTTTATTTTGTTTTGTTTTGTTTTTTTAAGAAAGAGGTTGTTGAAGGGGGAGGTGTGGGGCAGTGGACAGGAGAGGAGGAGGTATCAGTGTCAAGTCTGTGCTCCCTCTTGGTGTTCGGACAGTCCAGCAGGGGACTGTGCATATCTGTTCACGGGGTGGTGCAGGGAGAGCTTGCTCGAAAATGTTCTCAGCAGCTCTGTTCATCATGACCAAACATCTCCGCAAACAGGAGAAGAGCTAAAGGAAGGGCAATACATGCGTACAATGGACTCCTGCTCAACGATAAAAACTGAAACCACACAGGATGAATCTCATAAGCATGTGAAGCCAGACACAGAAGACACATATTGAATAATTCTCTTCACATGAAGTTCAAGAACAGGCAGAAGTGACCAATGGTGGCAGAAGTCGGAACACCCTGGTCTCTTTGGGGATGTGGAGGAAAACACGGGCATGAGGCAACCTGCTGGGGTGATGGAAATGTTCTGTATTTTGATCTGGGCATTGGCACAGGGTTGTATTCATAGACATGAAAAGCCATTGAACGCTTAAGATTTGTGCATATACGTAACTTAGACCGCAATTTTTTAATTAAAAAAAAAAATACAAGAACTTCGGAGTTACATTATCTACACATATGACTATCGGCATTTTGCCCTAATAAGACTCAGAGAGAGAAAGAGCTAAAGACACCCATTTAAATAAGGTAGGGAATGCTGCCGTCACTCCAGACCCTCAAGGAGCCTATTTCTGGGGTGAGCATGGACAGGGAGGTCTGACTGGACCTGCGTCCTCAAATCTGCCTCAGGTTCTGGGAGCTTCTCATGGTCTAACCATTTCACCTGTGAGTATGACTTCAGTCCTTAAAGATTCAATTTTTTCCCCCCAAAAAAGGGGGTACACATTAGCCAGCTGATACTCAAAAAAGGGAAATTTGTTCTAATGTCAAAGCCAACCAAGTAACAGCATAGAACTATTGTGAAATGGTAAATATGGCCTTATAATACGATCTTCAACATGGTGTTTTCCTAACGTGGACCATTTACATTTTTGGCTAATATGTTAACTTTGGAACCGAGCCTTTAAGTGACATGTGACTCTACCATAAAGAATTTGAGTAATTTAGAGGTTTGGCATCTGTCGTTGTTGTTTGGTTTGGGTTATTTCTTA